CGCGCCCAATTACAGAAGTAGCCACAGATGTCAATGAACCTCAACCACTCTCACCAGCAAATATCTTAACGATGAAGAAACACCCTTATCTTCCACCCCCAGGTGAATTCACTAGGCCAGATCTGTAGTGTCGAAAACAATGGCGCAGAGTTTAATATTTGTCAGATCAATTCTGGTTACGATGGCAAAGAGAGTACATCCAAAATCATCAACAGAGAAAAAAGTGGAAAAGCTCAAGTCCAAATATTAAAGTAAACGATATTGTTTTGATTTGAGATAAGAAGTCCATAAGGGGAGTATGGCCCAAAGGACGCGTAACTAAAATCAAAGAAAGCGAAGATAATCTTTTAAGTGGGGAGTGTGGTGTTATTTTATTAGGACTGTCATAATAGTTATGGACCTTTCTTTTTATTTTATAATTATATGTATTTTTACAATGTACATTCCTGCTTCTATTTTAAGGTATTTGTGATTCAATAGTGTCCATCATTTAAATGCGAATTACTCACGTAAAACGGAAGTAGATTATGTATTGTTTTCCCGCCATGAGAGCAGTAATTTTTCATTGTTGTAAGGCAGGGAATGTGGCTGAACAGTGTTTTACCGCAGCCCAAGATTGATTAATGTCAGCAAAGATAGTTTTTATTCTTTCGCCAGGGAAGTGCGTAAGCTAACTGGGTAGACAGGTCTCGGCGAGTAAAGGCTCTGCGGTGTCGTTCGTGCCGGTGAGACAGGACATATAGGGACACATATTTAATATGCCATAGCTTAAAATACAAATAATATTGTTCATACTGTATTAATAGGCCTTTAACAAATAGATCATGCTATAACCCTATTCTAAACCCATATCCATAATTAACGAATTGTTTTTCAAGTTTTTAGATTTCGAAGCACACACAATTAAGCAGAATTCACAGTAAAAACAAAGCCACAAATTACTACCGCTTATTATGAAAATTGTTTCAAATAAAGCGACCGAAATAACAAAAGACACCAAAGTGATTTCCAAAGGTGATTGCATGCTTTTATAAATAGCACAAGCTAGGCGACATGTGGAGACATGTGGAGCCATGTCTAGCCTGTGCTCTCGATTTATACATGCAACGGATGCGATGTAAAGTCTGAAATATGCCGGTTGAATTATTCTTTGATCAAGAATTTCTTTATTACATAACTTCGATTTCCATTCACAATAAGCTGCACATCAATATCTCTTTTCGGGACTGAGAGTTAGATTTCTTTACGTTTGATTAATTGTCCAAGAAGGGTCATTTAAATAAGCTGTTGAAAGAAGGGAACCAAACATACCCTAATGCAAATATATCGGGAAGACATGTAAATCAAAAGATAGGTTGCCAGGCAACGAAACATACGCCAACAGCAGCTAAATCGTCCGAGCGGTCGACAAGGGTTGTCGCATATTTATTCCTTTGTAGGTAATTGGGGGCCTTTAAAAGACAGTTCCATACAGATCAGATTATAATTTTTGCTGTTTGAGGGTTCACAAGGTTCTACAAATTGAAACAAGGGTCTCAACTCTGGAAGTAATCTACAGAAATTGTTGAAATTTTACAGGCTTTTTCATTTCACAAATTTAAATGATGCATATAAATTTCATAAATATCGGATGATAACTTTCATCAATCGAGCATTAACAAGGATGAACAAAGTCAAACAATGGCAATAACTCTAGAATTAATAAAGGCTTCACAAGGTTAAACAAAGTGAAACAAGGGCCATAACTCTAGATGTAATAAACGGAAATTGCTGAAATTCAATTGGCTTATTTGTTTTTTCTAATTTAAATATTGCATATAAATTTCACAAAGATCGGATGTTAATTTTTGGCATAAGAGCGTTCACAAGGTTCAACAAAGTGAAACAAGGGCCATAACTCTAGAAGTTATAAACGGAAATTATTGAAATTAAATAAGCTTCTTTGTTTCACTAATTTAAATAATGCATAAATAATTTCAGAAAGATAGGATGATAACTTTTGGGGTTAGAGCGTGCACAAGGTTAAACAAAGTGAAACAAGGGCCATAACTCTAGAAGTAATAAACAGAAATTGCTGAAATTCAATAGGCGTCTTCGTTTCCCTAATTTAAATATTGCATATAAATTTCACAAAGATCAGATGTTAACTTTTGGTATTAGAGTGTTCACAAGGTTCAACATTGTGAAACAAGGGCCATAACTCTATGCGTTATTAAAGGAAATTATTGAAATTAAATAGGCTTCTTCATCTCACTAATGTAAACAACATATACTATTCAAAAAAAGTAGGGGATATTTGATTTTGGGGGCATAATACTAAAATATGCAAATGACTACGAAAAAAGTCACTATAGAACCTAACAGAAGAAACATTTCCAGTTACATGTGACGCCCAAACGCACCAATAGCTACCGCATGGAATGCAGGTGATGCTTGGGATCATCATGGGGGTCCAACCCAAGATTTGCACGACTCTGACTTTGAATGTTACAGTCATTGTGGCATTGAATTCCAGGGTGGAAACATCAGTTTAATTGTTTTAGTGACCAGAAAACAAATTTTGATATGCGTCGGCTTACCCAAAATGAAAGGTTACGTGCCCTTGGCATGCTACAGATCGGCACAACACAGGCGGTTGTGGCGCAGACGATGAATGTTTCTCAGTCTGTCATAAGCAGGCTATGGTCCAGATACCGTGATACACAATCTGTACAGGACAGACCACGCTCAGGTCGACAACTCAAGCCCAGGATCGATTTATCCGTACCTTGGCCTTGAGAAATCGTGTCATCACAGCAAATCAGATCAGCGCTCGTCTTCAAACAGACACTGGTGTGAGAGTGAGTGGCCAGACGATTCGGAATCGACTGCATAGGGGTCACCTTCGCGCCCGACGTCCTCGCGTGATCCCTTGTTTGAGAGATCATCACATTCAGGCAAGACGTCGTTGGTGTAGGGATCGTCAACACTGGGATAATCGACGCTGGAGCAATGTGATGTTTTCAGATGAGTCAAGGTTCACTGTTGATTTTTTGGACAGACGTAGGAGGGTGTGGCGTCGTCGAAACGAGCGCTTCCAAGACGTTAACGTCATCAGACATGATCGATTTGGGGGTGGTTCTGTTATGGTGTGGGGAGGCATCACTGTTGCTGGAAGAACGGCTTTACATGTTGTTGCAGGCCGTGTTACAGGCCAGTACTACCGGGACAACATCTTGGCAGTCCATGTTGTGCCGTTCGCACGACGTCATGGCCGCCGTTTCATCTTCCAGGATGACAACGCAAGATGTCACAGGGCCAGGATCGTTACAGGTTACCTCCAACAACAGAACATCACCACATTACCTTGGCCAGCACTGAGTCCCGACCTCTCCCCCATCGAGCATGTCTGGGACATGCTTGGACAGAGGTTACGTCAACGTCAACAACGTCCTGCCAATGTCCAAGAACTTGCTGCTGCGTTGCAACAGGAATGGGACAATCTGGACCTAAATGACCTTAGACGTCTCATTAGGAGTATGCCACATCGGATCAATGCTTGTTTGGCAAACAGAGGAGGATTTACCCGTTACTGACTTGGTTGTGATGCTGTGGTAACTTTGCTGTTTGACCCCGGGTATCATTTTACCCTTATAATGGTCAGTCTGTGCCTTACTTAGTCTAACGATCATTTGGAATAAATCGATGAATGTGAACTTCATTTCATTTTGTCATTTGTTTCTTCGTCAGTTTCATTAGGTGACTTTAATAACACTTAAAAATCAAATATCCCCTACTTTTTTTGAATAGTATATATCGATTTTAAAACAATTGAATGATAAGTTTTAGTGTTAGAGCGTTCACAAGAAATTGTGGACGATGGACGGACCGACCGACGGACGGACGCACAGGGGCGACGGCAATATACGTCCACATTTCTATGTGGTCGTATAAAAAGCAGTTTTGTGTGAAAATATGATTACAATATAATGGTGGCTTTGAAAACAGATTCGTTACTCTGATATGGAGATTAGAATATATTGGATAATCAAATTGAGGTTGGTTCGGATATCTGGGAAATGACGATACTGCGTGTGATCAATTTTAAGATATGTGCATTTATAGTTCAGTGGTACGCACGTTAATATTTAAACAAATTAAACCCACAAAAAAGACAAATATATAAACAACTACAGCCCAACTATGGTATGAAGTATAAAACACGTAGTATTCATAAAAAAATGAAATACATATAAGAGCGCATATATGTAACTACAACACGTATAAATCCGTGTATAAAGACCTACATGTGTAGTCTTAATAAAGACCAATCTGCGTAAAAAACACACTCGAATAAGAAATTGCACGGTAAATTTAGATTTGACACCTACGCGTTAGATTAAGCCTGCAAGTCCTTGATAAGACACTTTTGGTGCAGTTATAACACGCTATCGAGAAATCTCACCAAACGAAGAATACACACCGTGTCAGACGTTTTTAACCTGTTTGTTAATAAACGCACCTAGTACAGAAAACACACTGTCGCAGAGATTTTCACCACTAGCAATAATTAATTCACCTTTCAGTCAATTTCTCAGCCCCTGTTAATTAACACACTGTATCTACAGATTTTAGCCTCTTTTTATTAGATTTGTTGCGATAATTAGAATTTTACCGATATTCATACAAATTTACCAAAATCAGTAGATATCTATGCTCTAAATGTACAAATAACACTATTACTACTTCTCAGTGTATGGTTACCTCTAATAAAAACAGCAGTGCATTTCCGCAGTTTTGTATCCCCTACTTTTTTTGAAGAGTATATATCAGTTTAACTGTTTTAAACAATTATAGTAGTATGAAAGGATCTACATTATTTCAAAAGTTTTTGTTGTAACTGATACTTTCAAAACAGTTTAGATTTCAATGTAGTGTGAAAGGTGTAATAATATTTTTTGTGTGGCATATATCAAGTTTGTCATTCAACATACAGCCATATTCATATAATATTACATTACCCATGATCATTTTAGTGTTGGTTAATTTCCATACCATAATACTTTTATCATTAGAACCAGATGCCAATAGTTGACCATCTCGTGAAAAAGCACAGCATGTAACATATCTAGAAATAAATAATTTTGATTTTTTCTGATGTTGATACATTATAAAGACACCAGAGTTTGATTGTAGGCTTAATTGAAGAGCATTTCATACATTTAGACATACAGAGCAAATAAAAGAGGTAGTTTATTTATATACATTATATACTAATTCCACACAAATCTGAATGATATTGTCCATTATATGATTGTTTACGATTTGGATGCTCAATTACTGTAATGTCAGAGTAGATTTCATCTGATGTCACATACAATACACATCATAGCAACTAATATGCATCAACATCTGGCCTACATTTATTCACACTATTGTCCAATTAAAGATATATTATGGGAGATTAGATAAAGAGCTAGTAGTTCTCACTATAATAGTTAACCAGCGGTTGCCAGGCAAGATACACACATATTTTGCAAGAGATGGATAGCTAAAAAAGAAAGTGATTTTTGTACAATCTGGAGCCATAATTCAGAAGTATGGTCAGATAAGCACAAATGTCGAAAGGAACTAAGATCTTAAGGAGATAGACCAATATTTCAAATTTCGTCAAAATCAGATAAAATTTGTGATCTGTAGAGTGTCCACAAACAAATTGTGGACGGACCTCCGGACATCAAAGGGCGATGACAATATATGTCTACACTAAAATGTGGGCGTATAAAAAGTGATTTTTCGTACAAACAGGGGCCATAATCCAGGAAGTGAAAGTTCAATACATGCAAGTAGGCCTACCGAAAGAAACCCAGATCTTTGGGTTATAATCATACATTCTAATTTTCATCGAAATCTAAGAGTTTTGCTCTACTTGAGCAAAATGTGTGGTTTGGCATTTTACATGAAATACTAATCATGTTGTACTTCTAATAAACTTGAGTTGACAATCTGGAAATAACGTTCCTGACTTGTAACATGGCTGTAAGTGAATTTCAGTGTATAACAGGATTTTTTATTCATTTATTTGAATTAATTTCTTGCATATGATCTTTCCTGGTATAAAATGAACTGGCTGTCCTGACCCCCCCCCCCCCCAACATTTCATTCTAATACATGATATTAGTAATCTTACAATATCTTTGACAATAATGGAAGTATTAAAAGCTGATATCTTCTGCTTTATATACATGTTGCAGACCAACCCTTTCCATTACCTGCTATGGTGTGGTAAAGCAGTAATTATAACCTTGGTAGTTTGGGACAACAGGACTTTTTGATTGAAAAAAAAAGAAAGAGGTTTTAAATAAGTTTATATAATCCACAAACACATAATACAGTATATATATTTTACGATAAGAGAAAAACAAGTAAACAGATGTTGGTTAATCTATCTCAATCTTCTATACCATAAACAATAAAACCATTAAATACCAATTATGATGACATGAGTGATAGCTACCAGTGCCGGACTGGGCCCACCTGTCCACCTGTCCGTGACAGGTGGGCCTAAGCTCATTAAAACAAGTGGGCCTAAGCCTATAAAGAAAAAAGAAAAAAAGAGAAAGAAAAAAGAAAAAGACCTGAAGATTACTTTGGCTATCCTTGAAGCTAAAGAAATAATTTGTTACTTCTTTAGAAAACAATTAATTATCAGTTATCATCACAGAAGTAAATATCATCATAAGCTTGTGAGGTTCAGGGGCTTATGATGATATTCGTTTACTTCTGTGAGTTAGAAGAGTCTCGCTATATTCTGTGATGTGCGTCAACAGAACTGTCAAATACGTGTACTGTATGTATATTATAATCTGCATTATTTTAGTCACGGAGAATAAAAGGTTTTTTGTTTTTGACACTCAAGAGAATTCTCAAATTCATCTAATGATAGTGCTCTTAGGTCATTCTGTTATCTAATTGTATCAGGAAATCAAAAATTTGCCTTCTTCTGCTTTGGTCTGAAATGCTTGAATAATGGGTTTGCGGTTGTCAATTTTCAAAATTTTCCTGGGGGGAGACCCACCAGTCCGTCACTGATAGCTACAGACACACAAACATATTTTATGCTTGCCCTGAAAATACATACAATAGTTGTCATTATTTTTGTGTACATAACCAATATTTCTGACAATATTACCTTACAGTATTATATATTTATGTACATAATTATATTTCAAACAAACTATTCTCATACTCCACTTTCAAATTTACATAATCAAAAAATTAAATGAAATATTTATAAAGTAATTAGCTTACCCATTTGTGGAATTTTTTAAAATTAATACATGGTATTAGTAATCTTTCAATATCTTTGTCAAATACATAAGAGTACACAAAGATAATATCTTCTGCTTTATACACTGTAACCAGTGTATTGGCCTTTTATCTTTCCAAATTTCATTTTTCTACAGTAATACATGGTATTAGTTTATCAAACAATAGAGAGAGAGAGAAATGGGGTTTAACGTCCACTCGACACAAACTAGGTCATTTCGGGACTAACATATGGCTCAATTTTATTTCAATAATTCACTTGCACGTAGGGTCTTTAGCAGTGGGAGGAACCTGGAGGACTCGGAGAAAACCCATGAGGTTGGACAGACGAACATACTCCTTGGCACGTACAACCGGGAAATCGAAACCACACCAGTTGACTCGATAACAGACCTTATGATACAGCGCGCACGTGCTAACCGTGCTGTGCGGTCTATATTAACACAGGGTACAATTTTATGGATACACAATTACTGAGTTTAATACTAAGCGACCTGTCGATGAGGATACACTCGTCTTTATCAAGCCCGTCTCTCTCTCAGCAAATTTCAGCACCCTGCCCAACCTTCAACCCGACGAAGGACCAGTCGTTTATATCAACATAATGGTCCTGACCAGGTGCGCAATCACCAAATGAGCACACAGTGGTGACACCAAACAACTTCATAATGATGGTTGATAGGTAGAATGTAAAAATTCTAAATTCGTTGATGTTGATGCTAAACGTGTAAAGCATCAATGAAGAAGACGTTTTTCGTCTAAATAATAGAAATCCAGATGTCTTCATGCCTAATAATCGTAACCAAGCGGAGATGAGATTTAGAGGCCTTCTCAAGAACTTTGCACGTGATGGTCAGTTGAAAGCAGACTACATAGAGTTTATGACCAAGATAATAGAAAGAGGTCATGCATCACCCGCATCTAAAGAAAAACCTAAAGATGGAAAGTCATGGTTCCTTCCTCATTTTGGAGTCTACCATCCAAAGAAGAAATCACAAATAAGAGACGTATTTGACTCCTCAGCAGAGTATGCTGGAACATCTTTAAACTCAGAATTGCTTGCTGGCCCCGACCTTATGAATAGACTACAAGGAAGGTTACACAGATTTCGCCAGGAAGAGGTCGCAATCATGTGCGATATTGAACAGATGTTTCACAGTTTTCATGTGGATAAAGACCACAGAAACTTTCTACAATTCCTTTGGTTTAAAGACAGTGATCCTGCAATACCTGTAATAGATTACCATATGAAAGTACATCTATTTGGTAACGGACCTAGTCCAACCATAGCAACCTTTGGACTAAGAAAGTCAGCCGATGAGTCAGCACATAAATTCGTACATGAAGAATTCTATGTAGATGATGGTGTTTATTCCTGTCAGACACCAGAAGAAGCCATCGCTTTAATAAAGTCTGCACAGAAAATATTAGCAGAATCAAACCTTAGACTTCACAAGGTAGTGTCAAATATTCCTGCCATAACGCAAGACGACAGAGCTAAAGGTTTAAAAGACCTAGACTTTACTAATGATAAGTTGCCTGTCCAACGTTCATTGGGGGTACAATGGGATCTTGATGAAGATGTATTCACATTTCAAGCCATCAACAAAGACAAACCTTACACTCATTGTATGATCCTTTTGGATTTGCAGCACCTTATGTCATCGTTGGTAAGAAGATACTACAAACCTTGATACTACTGGGTAACACTAAAGACATTCCACTCAACTGGGATGATCCACTTCCCACAGATTTGGAAATTGAATGGGATACATGGAATAAAGACCTAGAGACTATTAACAGCGTCAAAGTGCAACGTTGCTTCAAGCCTACAAAATTTGGAACCGTTACAAGAATAGAGCTCCATGCCTTTTGTGATGCCAGTCAGGATGCAATCAGAGTAGTTGTTTATCTACGTATGTTCAATGACGAAGACCAGGTGTGGATTTCATTTGTTAAATCATCTGCCAAAGAAAAGCCACAGAAATGTGTTACTATTCAAAGAATGGAACTATCTGCCGCTGTACTGTTAGTTAACAAAGTAAGAGACATTAAAAAAGACTTAGAGTATCAAATAGACGATACATTTTACTACACAGATTCTAAAGTCGTTTTTGGATACATCATGAATGAAAGTAAACAAATCTTCATGTATGTTGCTAATAGGGTAGAAATCATTCGCTACCAATCATCATCTACGACTTGGAGGTACATAAATACAGAAACCAATCCAGCAGATATCGCAACCCGTGGGTGTTCTGTCTCCAAGCTCATTAAGGGAAACTGGTTCACAGGTCCTGACTTCTTGTGGACTCCTCAGAGGGATATACCGTTTGAATCATTCTCTCTGCACGATGAAAATGATGAAGAACTGCGTCCAGAAGTTAAAGTTAGTAAGATCTTGGGGAACATCCATGATGCCTGTGCACTATGTGCATACTTCAAACGCTTTGAAGACTGGAACAAACTTTGCAGAAGTATAGCCCTTTTAAAGCTTTTCGTTAGAATGTGAATGCAACCACCAGAGAATAGAGCAAGTTTCGATACAAAGCTGAATCCTAAGATAATAAAACAAGCCGAAGACGTCATCATCAGTCATGTTCAGTACAACGTCTTCTTAAAAGAGATCTCCATTCTGAAAGATAAAGAAATTAATGTTTCTAAGAAGAGCCCACTCAAAGGTTTACCACTTCAAGACTTGGATCCCTTCATCCATATAGATGGTTTGCTCAGGGTTGGTGGACGCTTGAGACGAGCACAGTGGCCTCTTCCAGAGAAACATCCAGCGATATTACCCAA